TTGAGAAATGGATTTTCCAATTTGGAAAATTTCATTCATAAATAACTTGATTTTCAAATGCAATTTCGCACTTTTCTTTAATTTGTTAAATGCGAAATTTCATTATTCTATAACGATATAAGATTTTCGGAATCTCGCATACACAGGACTAACAAAAGACTAAGGGTTTTTTATTCATGAAATTATTAAATATTAGCACAACAGTTTTCCCTAATTTGAGCTTCTTTCTTAAATTTGATTATGTAATATAAAAGGTTCTTTATGCTGCTATATCTCAATGTGTACTTTTTAAGAATATGTATATGTTGCCATTAACGCCACAAAGTATTGGTATCAAAATTTTGAATACCATATAACGGATAGGCCAACTAGCTCGGGGTTAAATACAAAATAAGAGCTTGAGAATCTTCCACAGTGGTAGTTCGTTCTGGGTAAATGGATCTTAATTTCTGTACACTTATCAAAGGTTAACCGCTACTCAATTTCTTACGTAACTCTCCCCGCATGAAATTTAGAAGATACGGGGTACAAATCAATTCAAGTAAAAACAGGAGAAAATACGAAGATTCTAAAAATTTCTGAATGGCCTTCGAGGGGACCCTTAATGAAAAGTCATGGAGACCGTTTACGACTATTAAAGTCTCATGAAGGCTTTTCAGAACCCATGAAATGACTTTTGTAGGGACTTAAAGGCTATTAAAAACCATTAAAGCGTATTAAGATTTTCAAATTTGTATTTATATTTAGAGCTTCATACAGGTCTTTTTAAGGTCTTTAGAGACAGTAAAAACTTCGACGAAAGTCTACACTTTATATGTGTAGAGTGTAGAATATAAAGACGTTTTCAATTACAAGTTGGTCGAGTAAATTACTTTAGAACTTTGTCCAAAAAATGTCAGTATCTAAATGTAATACGAAATATTTGGACATCCCTTATAACTTTAGCGAAACAAAAATCTGCAAATAAAATAAGATTAACGAATCGAAAGGAAGCGATATGATTGAAAGTAAAAGTATTGTGTTAGAGATAACGAGAACCACCTTTCCCGCAGTGACTAATTGACACGTCAGGTATTTGCAACAGTTTAATTTTTAGTTACCTAAACGCGAGCGTGTGAGGTGGTAGTGCAATGCCTTTCGGAAATTATTGCTCGAACGTAAGGTGGTTGGGGTGAGTAATTTTTGAGATAATTGATATATCAACGCTGAACGCATCAGTTACCGTAAAATCCAAATTAATTTCTATTGATCTGGATTGATTTTTGTGCAGATGCATCCAATTTTTGCAACTAAAAATTCTTCTTCGCCATAACTTGATTATGATCACCCTGGTTTGAATCCGGGTTCGGGTATGGATATTTGTAAATGTATAGTGGGTTGGGTTGCAGCCTTGGCTGAAACCTCACCCATTCAAAACTAAAGGCAAAATAAAAAGACCTTATAAATCAACAGCACCGTTATTTAAGTATTTTCAGTGTCTATCCAAATATATTCGGCTAATTCATGATTTTGGATCTTGAAACTAAAAAAATTCTAGAAGTTCTTCCTTACATTTCAAAAATCTCGCAAATTTTTATGTTACTGCAATTAATTTCGCCATAGCTTTTAATCTTCACTGACCATATGGTCACATCTTCTCGCATTAAAATATGATTTTATGGTGAAGGTTTTTAACCCTAAATTTCATTTTGCAGCAATACATTGCTAACTTTCAAATTAACAAACTGGGCACTTATTTTGTATTTGCCTTCATTTTTCCAGTAGCTATACGTTGGCAGCATTCTAATTTTAATGCCCGGTGCATAATTTCCTTGGATTATACCGAACATTATTAGGAAAGCGTTCAAAGAATCTTAAGTAATTTTGTAATTTTGGAAGGTCAAATTTAAATTAGGACGTTCGAGTGCTGGGTTTCGAATCACAATTTGAATTTGAATTTCTGGACTTTTTTTAGCGCATTTTTGAAAAAAATACGCTATTATATTCGTCATTGCTGGCAGGCCGGCTGTCCGCGTTAGATCTCCACAACTACAATAGCTAGAGACTTCAAATTTTCACTAAAAGCTTTCTGCTATAGTGTAGATGTGCAGGCACTAGTCTATTTTGAGTTAGATTACTTGTGAGATCGATAATTGAAGAAAATAATTTCGATATGGGTTTCGGAGGTGCTATAATTTTACCGTTAGATAGCGCTACCAGTATAAAAACTTATTATTTACTTTGTGATTTGTTTTACAAAATGAAGACGTACCGTCAATTGAAATTAAATAAAATTAATTATTTAACGCAGCCAAAATTACTCGTGAGATCGATAATTTTAAACTTCGCTAATAAAATACTGACCTGCATTACCAAAAATGTGCTTTAATCATGCATATGCTGATTTACAACTTGTTTAAATTCTGGTTGCTTCATATTTTGAAAACCACAAAACTATACAAGAATGCAAACATTCGTTAAAAAATGCAAGCGTTTTTAAACAGGGCTACATGAATTCTCATATATTTAATATCATATTTTTAAGGATTATCTTTGGGGGTACAAGGCCCGCAGATTTTTAAGTTTGATTCCTTAGTGTAAAATCTCCCTATTTGGATTTAGAAATGTATAGGAGTTTTGTCGCGTTTTTGTAATCGTTTTTCTGAATTAAAATTCATCTTTATGTCTTATAAATTCTGTTAAATTTCAATGTCTTAAATAAAGACATTACGGAGGTTTGAAAAATACGGAAGCCCTTGAAATATTTGAAAGCGCTTCGATGCTCTTGCAGATTCATGGAGACCTGTTATGACTATTAAAGGCCTTCGAGGGTTTTAAGTAGCACATGAAATGGCTGTTATCGACTCGTCCAAATTACTAAATGTCATCCAAGACATTTGTATGCGCCAATCACAATAGCTGTAATGTAAAAATGTCAATTTAAGTTTAATGTAAAAACTGTATAAAAATAATTAGGTGTTTCAGTCCTTTCGCCCCGGTAAATTCGCCCCCGAAAATTCGCCCCCGGAGTATTCGCCCCCAACAAATTCTCCTCCGAAAAATTCGCCCCATAATATTTATTAACCCTCGGAAGTAATAGGTTGGTTTGGTAACATTAAACAAATAACAATTAAACAAAATTCATTTTATAAATTGTTGGCCCTATTACCTCCGAGGATTAAAAAATCTTATGGGGCGAATCCTACGGGAGCGGAATCGCCGCGGGCGAATCTTCCAGGAGCGAATTTGTCGGAGGCGAACTTGCCGGGGGCGAATTTTCTGGGGCGAATCTTACGGAGGCGAATAGTCCGGGGGCAAATTTACTTGGAGGCGAGTTTTCTTGGGGGCGAATTTTCGGCGGCGAATCATCCTACAATCCTTCCAGTTTCCAGTAAATACAACATACTTCAAAGCATTTAGCTTATACAACATTAGAGCATAACTTTTAAAGACTTTAAAAGGCTCTCAAATTTTGTAGAATGCCTTTGGAGCCTGGTAAAGGTTTCTTTACAGTTATTAATGATCCGAATTCGTTATGAACATCAAAGAATCGCGTATATCGTTAAAACCTCGAGGCGTAGCCGAGTGGTTTTAGCAATATCAATAACGTTCGTATCATTCAAAATTTAATCTACGACGCCAACGGCCCAAATAGATTTTTTTCCCATTTTGATTTGCCAATTTTGACGTTCGCGATAGGAAATAGTATATTATCATTAGTGGGTATACTTTTATGAATTCATAATAACATCCAACTGGCCATGCTAAATCTGTGATAATGACTTCAACCCTTAAAATCTCATAGTTGTGAATACAATTTGTTTTAGTTGCTTCGACTTGTAAGGATAAATTGGGCTTCCTAAAGTGACATTGTAACTGATCCGTAAAGGTTTCATGAAAAAAAGGCAGAAACGTTAACTGGGCGCAATAGTTCTAGTCACGTTAAACTCTGTCATAAATTGAAATCGTTCGTGAAACTAATTCTCTTAATTTTCTCATTTGTCTTCATCCGAACGTTAACTCGAAAATTTGCATTCAACTTCTGCAAGGGGGGTATTAATTAAAAAGATCCGTCAGTTCGTGCGCCACGCCACAATTTCAGGTATGCACACGTTAAATTAATGTTCAATAACACACGTTCAAATGACGTATAAACGCGTTATTAACACTTGTTTTGTCTGATTCGGGTTCGTTAATAACACACGTTCGTTAAACAAAAAAACGAAGAAGAGGACAGCGCCGACTTCGCCAAAGTTAAATTGCTTTCATTTAATTTCCGAAACTAGTACTCGCACAATTATTTTAATTAAAGCGAGGCGGCGAAAAAACTAGGGCTAATTATGATAGTAGTTGTGAGGGTGCAACTACTCTGCAGAAACCGCTAAGGGCTACTTAGAATTCCGATCGCGGTTTCTAGTGTCCATGAAACGCCCTCTTGATGAAGATGTGCTGGTATGGTTAGAATGTCTAGAATAACACTCCAGCATAGAATGTTTATGTAGTATCGCTATTACCTACTACTCAAAATTAGGGATAGATATGTTAAGTCGAGCTACACACAATTAATCAGACTGAAAGGGCAAAAATGCAAGTGCTGTCTCGTATTAGTTCCGTTTCCATTCCAATTATGAATTTTTTTTTTACTACGCGCAGGTTAGTAAGGGAGGTATTGCATTGGGGTAGAAAATTACCTTTTTGACGGAAATAGACGTTTTGAGGCACCAGCAATCGGAATCAAACAAAATCTCGATGTCTGTCGATGTGTCGGTTTGTCTGTTACACATATTTTTAGACATAAAAGGGCATAATAGGCAGGTATAGGGGTGGTATCTGTGTTCCACACCCTCGGGCGACTTACAATCCCTCGGGCCTCCAGGCCCTCGGGCTCTGTCGCCCTCGGCATAAATATCGCCTTAATGCCCTTGATGCATAATAACTATTTTAAGCAACTTAATTTTTTATCTTACAAATTTTGTACTTTTCTCCTTACAGTTTCTAATTATCTTTTTTTTCTATTGCAGATTTGACATTTATCGCTGAATTGGGTCTGAGGGAGGTCATAAATGGAGTAGGATTAATGTGAGTTAATGTCACTTTTTCCGGTGGTGGTTAAAAATTTATTCTTGGTGCTGTATTTTTGCGTTTTGTAACTGGTTATGTGCTTTACTGTTCTAACTTTTGAACTGTTGGAAGTGAAGCAGGTCAGTATTTTATAATCTCTGAATTTGTGCTTCTTTGGAGCCCTTCCCAAACTTTATTTTGCACAAGTTTCAAAAAGTGGAATAATAGACATTTTTGCAATACGAACGTATTGAGTCTCAATCTGATTAAAAGATCCCGTATTCAAAAATGTCTCAATGTCATAATGTTAATAATTCAAAAAAGTTGAGCAATTTCCTTGGTGGCTTTACCTCATGATGAGCTAACTAATGTAACACTATATACCTATATTAAAAAGGACATACTTTGAAAAAATGGCACATTTTCATTGACGATTTATCCAGATAAATTCTTTACATCATCACAATTAAAGTTTGTTTGGAAAGACGATACAGAACCTTGACATTTTCTTTCGATAAAATTGAAAAATTAAATAAAAAGAAAGGCTTCCGCCGCAGAGTATTGTAAGGGCGAGAAAACGTAATTAGTAATTTTAATATTAATAAATGGCAACATGAAATTCGTTTGGGTAATTTTTTCTACAAGTCTTTTGCTCTTTGGAGGCGGCTTTTCTGGGTCAAGGAGAGCTTCTTGTGCGTAGAAGTTTCTGATGGGCGAATATTTCGCGACTAAATCTAGTTCAAGGGTAACTTTTGCGGGGGCGACACTTTCAGAAGTAAATCTTCCGGTGGATTTCTCTAAAATTACGTAATTTAGATACATGTTGGGAGTAAATAGCCTTACGACCAAAATTGATACCAAAACTTGCCTCAAACTGTACAACTAAATAACGCTAACTTTTTCATTAGAGAATGGTATAGTCCAAAAAATTTTTAATGAATTAAAATGTTGCCTTTTAAATTATTATAGTCAGATCGTCACCTGGAAAAGACTTTTTTCGATACACTCCTCAAAAGTAGGTACTAAACTTGTCACGACCCAACAGCTACATAAGAAATTATAGCCTTTGTATAAAATCGGCGAAATGGCCAATGAAAAAAAAATCGTCCTTTTCCTACAACAAAAAAAGATATATGACGTAATGGGGTCCTCTTTAAGTTCTTTTCAATTATACAATGCAATTCGTTCTAGTTTTTAAAACTCGCGCGCGATTCTTACCATCGCATCGACTGAATCCCTTTATTGTCGCATTAATTAGACTCGTCGCTGTACACTAATTAAATTTAAAGGAAAAACGGAAACCGAGTAGATAATTGGGCGATCTCCAGTTTATGAAATACTATAAATTAATTTAGAAGCCAAAATCTAGAATCCATGTTCTTCTTCATTGTCGCAGAGAATTACACTGAATGTAAGTTCCTCTTAATTCATGCAATTAGTGAAGCTTAACTCCTTTGAGCAAATTCTAAAAGTTTTAATGCAAGTTATTAAAGAAAATTTACGTGCACAAATGCAAAGTTTACTAATGTTCTTGACATTCTCAACCCTCCGAGTTTTTTTTTTCTTCTTCGTTGATTTTTCGCCCTCGACACACGCGCGATTATTCTTAATTAAAACCCTTATATTAGCCACTAAAAATATGGGTATAAAATATAAACGGTTCGCAATTTCGTCTTGGAATTGCGATGTTAGAACTAAATGATGTACGACCCACCTTGTAATAACATCACGTAAACTATAAGGAAGGCCCTCTGGAAAATCGACGAACGTATAGCTACTCTAGTTCATGACACAAAAAGCTTTCGATGCTGGCGTTTCTCGATCTCGATAATCTACCCTTTTTTTTTCCCTCGTCTTATGTCTATATCGTCTATATTTTTGTCAATATTCTGCATGAGTTGACGGTTTACGTTTTGCATTATATATTCGCTTGCGAAATGACTTTTTGCGAACAAATTTCGTTTGGTGTACACAATACCTGGTACTTCCTCGGCGTGACAGTCGGTAAAGATAAATCAAACGGCGGGGTTGGAAACGTTTCCACCTATACCTTTTTATAATGTTGCTATACGTGACGCTGCGTGTCTCCTAAATCAGGAATGTTTTTCAAATATTTACACGACTTCTCGCACAATATTTATGGGACAATTTAAGATACGTTAAAATTAAGTTGACACCCTGAATTGTAATCTGGAAGGAGCTTTTTGTGTTACTCGATCTTTTTTCTTATTTTACTCCAATGCTTTTAATAGACGATTCTCAATAATTATTACAGACCTTGTAATAAACGGAATTGTTATGAAAAGAAAAACCTGAAATTGTTGAAACGGGGAAGGCTTCTGTGTGCAATAAAAGGGTGACTTGCGGAACTTGTATACAAAATCAAACTAGGAGCCAAAGATGTACCACAAAAATTACAGCCCTCATAATAAACAGTTTGCAATGTAAATAGAAGTTTTCATTAAAAATTTGCAATGTTAAAACGAAATGTGGAGAGGGGCGAGGGGTTGTACTTTTCTGCGAATTAAAATAGTTGACTATAAACTTTTTTAAACCAAAACAAGTAAAGAAACAAGAATATTTGTTGTCCATAACAATTACAGCCCTCATAATAGACTGTTATTTATGTAAAATCAAGTTTTCTAAGAAACCTGTAATTTTCTAAACAGGTAGGGTCTATACTTTTATGCGCACTAAAAAAGTAAGCTTGTAATCAAAATCAAACAAGGAAACAAAAATATTTGATCTACTAAACGGATTTTCATTTATTAAATTCTAGTTTTCCTAAAAAAACTGTAATTTTTTAAGCAGAGAGGGTCCATATTGCTGTGTGTAATGGCGTACGGTAACTACTCTACCCACAAAACACCTGTCCGGCTAGCTAAAAGCAAAATTGAAACTTTAAAATTTTTAAAATCTCTCCTCGTAAAAGATCTGACGTCTGATTTTACTATTGCCTAATTTATCAATTTGGGAGACTCGGTGGCCTCGATCAACTTCTGAAAATTCCAAAGAATTTATTACATAAGCTTTGATCAATGCCTGAAATAAATCTTGGGCACAAATAGAAAAATCTGACATGAAGACTATCTGGATCGCACAATGGATTCGAATAAACAGAATTGAGAATGACAAAAATGTATTTTGAAACACAAGATACAATCCCTGCAAGGAAGAAAAGCTTACAAAGCTTATTTGGACAGAATGCCCCGCACTCAGACAGTTTATAGGTAATTAAAAATACAACAAATCTTAAATTACTTTTTGTTTCTCTAATAATCCAAACGATCAGTCGTAAAAGGTTTAAACACAAAAACCTTCGCTGTCCGCTTCAGGAAACTTCACTTTTTCTTAATTAAACTCACTCGAATTGGCTTGATTAATAAAAGGAAAAACTGCAGTTTGGTGGCTGCTGGGATGGTAGAAACTTCGAACTTACACTAAGCAGACAACTGCTTTATTCACACTCGAACTAACTTTTTCTGAATACAGACAAACCGTTTTTGAACCTTTCCGCAAACTTTTACTGCTGCAATTGACGATAGCTCGCAAATCTTTTAAGGCTACTCAACTTCTTCCGCACACTTTCAATTAAACAAAGAGGGCCAACTGCCCGAGAAACTAAACAAATATACATGCTTTTTTTGCCGTCACTTCTTTAAATTTAGTAAGGTTTGACCGCACCATAAAGAAAATAGTTTTTTTAGTCCAGTCAAATTGACTCCAAAAGTAGTCTAAACTGGATGTTTTTCTTCACTCAACGGAACCAAGGGTATCCTATGTAAGAAATCCGCTAAACTCCCGGAAAATGTTATCAACAAACATCAAGAAAAAAACGGGAAAATGTCTAGAAATTAATTTGTTTAGAATCGAATTTTATATTAAGTATCGTGTTTGTTATATTGTTTTGTTATCAAAAGAAGTGCCCCATTTTCGCGATTACTTTTTTATATTTTTCTATAAAATACAATAACATTTGCAAATGAACGTTCTTGAGTACTTGTATAGCATAGAAAATTCGATTCTAAACAAACTAATTTCTATTCATTTTTCCCTCAGAGCAAGTACGAGTTATTCGAAGTAAAAAAACTACATTTTCCTATTTTTTCGTTTCGGTTTCCGGCCAGGGGCGAGGGGGAATATAATTTTCGGATTCAGCGGATTTTTAGGGCATTTTTGAGAAAAATACGCTATTAAGTATATCCGTTATGACTGGCTGGTTGTCCGGCTGAGATCTCAACAACTACAACAGCTAGAGACTTAAAATGTTTACTAAAAGCTTTCTGCTACAATGAAGAATGTGCACGCTCTAGCCTATTTTGAGTTAGATTAGTCCGAGGGGTATCTCACGGGGCGGTTTTTCGTACAGACGAAGGAGGTACAGGGGCGATCCAGGGAGGTGCAGGGGTAATCCAGGAGGTGCAGGGTGATCTGGGGTGATTCAAGGCAGTCCGGGGTTATCCGGGGCGATCTCGCGGCGATCCCAAGGCGATATCGGGGAGATCTGGGGCGATCCGGGATAATTCAATAATAAATCAAATTAGATCTGAAGTCCTAATGCTTGTTCAGAGCCCCTGTGCCATATAATTGGAATTTTTATTCTGTATGGTGTCTGGTTAAACAAATAAATAAATAAATAAATAAATATATACCGAGTTCAGTTCGTGATAATTCGAGTAAGTTCGTCACTTTTAGCTACTAGCGAGCATATTATACTTTGGAAAATTCTCGGGAAAATTGCGCAGCCATCGAACGTTGAGGAGGTCGGTTGTTTTACGTACCTACTTACTGGTGATTACTTAATTTCGAGCTTAATTTTGCTCAAATTGTGTGCGTGTGAATCTAGGTATGAATCGATCTAATTGATGCGAGGATTGTACATCAACCCAACTTAAAACTAGACTGAAGGCGATCCAACATTTCTTCATTCACTTCTTTTATGATAAAATAATAAATAACTTTTGATGTTTCCTCGGATGTTTGTTCCTTGGCATAAGTATTTATTTCTTTTGTTACCTATGTTTTTGAATAAACCTAAGTTGATGTGAAATTTATACGCATTTTTGAATAAAACGCCTTAGTAAAAACAGATGATATTGAGGAGGTCCGGAATCTGCGATCTGGGGCGATCTCGGGTGATCTTGGGCGATCTCGGGAGATTTGAGGCCGTATGGGGGCG